AAAAGATAAATATTAACGAAAATGAAGTAGATGTTATATTGTAAAATTTAGTAAGTGTGTATTCACAATAACATATGTATGACATGTGATGTTTTGAATAAAAAACAATATAGTTAACCTAATTTATGATATACCAGTACAATGAAATACGGGTAATCCTAAAATAACAAAAACCCATTTTAAGACTAATCTAATGTTACAAGAAAAAGGATACAACTAAGCTCTAATTTGAAACCAGAACTCGACTATGTGTATTGACCAATGTAATTAAACTTCTGTTACTGAACCCAAATAACTACAGATAATAATATTAACAGTAAAAATATTCAAGAACCATAACAGCATAACACCTTATTGTTCCAAAAACAGTAGACCATATTTCAAAATGTGTGGGCCCCCAAACTTGAGTTGAGGCCTGATGAAGGTCAGCTCCTTGGACGATCAATCTCCCGATGAAGTAAAGCCGATACTTCACCACTTGAGGACCACCACCTGAAGCCTATGTAAATATGCTGATAGAAGATATAGCTTCCGAAGTGGTCACAAAGAATTTGGAAATCAAAATGAATAACCAAATACAACCATGTTGGCAGAAAGAAATAAAAAGTAGAAAAAAATTTGTAATGAAGAATTAAGTTCTGTAACTCGGTAGAAATATAAAATAATTCCACTTCGGAATAAGTTACAAATATCACTATTGTATAGTAAATAATAAACTTGTTGAGAGAAATTGATACGAAAAAAAAAAAAAAACACTTGAAGAGAGCACAAACTAAACATCTGTACATAAGCACTGCCAAATGAGAAGTGATAGTTAGGTAGAACAGCATAAGGGAGTCACAAGTCACATGGGTGTGTGGCACTACTATTGGTGGAGGTTTGTCGCATGATAATTTGCATGCGAGAATCAGTTAAACCATGTGAATTGAGGGATGCGTGGGAGTGAAAGGCTTGGGGCATGTGAAAAAAGTTTTGTAAATAGAGGGCAGCACTGAACAAGAATAGCTATGTATGAGAGGGAAAGTAAGGTATGTTGTCACAATACCTCTGCCAGTTTGCCAAATTGGTTGTAATAAAATTGTTTAACCAAATGCCAAACATTCATCAACTTTTTAAAATTCTTTTTGTGTTGGTGAATCACAAAGTTTTTCTAGCAATTTTCAAACCTTTTCATATCTCCTCAGTTTTAAGAGCTGGCCAATTCTCAATGCAATACCTTGACTAAATGGTTCTAATGTCCATTGATTTTGACTTCATACCATATTTACTGTGGCTAGCCTGTTCATTACAACAAATCTTAGTGAATTCTGCTATAAATCTTTATTCTTTTTATTTAATCAACATGGTTCTTCACTTCTAAAGCACTTTTTTTATTTCAATTTTCAGTCTATTTCACATATTTTGACCAAATGTTAGTATGATGTTAGCTTATTTAACAAGCAATTAATAAATTTCATTAAACCTTAAAAACTTTAAAGTTTGAAACAAAATACTTACTTACATATGATTGTTTACTTATTACCTTAATTTTAACATACTACTTAAGCCTGACATATTGTTTTAACTTATCAAGTTATGATTTTTCTAAGATGAAAATGAAAAGTTATTTTATATAATACCATTTCACTTTCACTAATGTATAAATCACCATTTAGACTCCAATATACCTCAACACACACTGATATATTAATAACTGGTAATATTCATATAAATGAAGGTAAACAAACAACTCCAACCAGAAAAAGAGGGAAATAAACATGTCAGATTACAGGACTGTACTACCATCAGTAAATTTCTTATTTTTCTGTAGTGATTAAACTTTCTTCCCCTCCAAATAAAAAACACATTCCTAACCAGCCTCAAAAACAGTTCCAGTCTCTTTTTTATCAAACCTATTGTGATCCAAAGATTCTAATATTGCTTGTCTTCAAAATTAGAAGTGACCTCTCATTTTTCATTTGTATGTCTTTATATCTGTTTGATAACATATACTGTATATCAATTTAGTAAATGTGTTTTTCTACTTAATATTTGTGTTAAATATGAATATATT